AACACCGACCCCTGAGGAACACCTAGGAGCTCACCTTTCTCGTGCTGCAGCCACTTGCGGTCGAGGTAGTAGTGGTAGCAGCTCTCGAACTCCTGCAGAGTGTAGTTGGGGACCGGGATGGGCACGAAGGGGTCCAGCGCGTCGAACCCCTCCTGGGGAGGGAAGGCGAGGTGAGACCCCGCGTCCTTGTCGCGGGAGTTGTGCCGGAGGGGGCACAGCCGGGCAGGAGCTCCGGCGGTTAACGGAGAAGGAAGCAGGGACCCGAGAGCCTCCGGCAAAGGCTGGGCTGCGCCCCGGCCCCGAAGCAGCTTCCTGGTGGGAGGGGGGAGGCCAAGTCTCACCTTTCCCAGCAGCTCCTGGGGCAAATAGGCAGAACTGGGTTTGAAGAGTGAGCCCGTCTGGCTGAGGGTGGTCACAACAGCACCTCCGTTCTACAGGGAAGGGAATTGGGAACCTTATTAGCTGCAAACACAGTCCTTGCAAACAGTCATAGAATCACTGGGTTGGAAAAGACCTTAGAGATCATCCAGTCCAACCGTATATGTCCGCCACTAAATCATATCTCAGTCACCTCAGACTGATTCTGAAGGAGCGAGCTGTGTCCTTCCTTGACCTGACAGTTCAGCCCCGAAGGTCTGCGTGGTGGTGGACTTGTGACCCCTGCCACCCCACGTAGAGCTGCAGCACGGGGAATGCGCGGCGCGTGCTTGCAGTGCCATCCCAACTCCTGCCTATGGATGGCTTTCAGCGGAAGCCACTGCAGTACGTCGACTTGCCCATGTGCCCCAAAACCTGAAGACTACCTGTTAGACCTCTGAGCACCCAGGGGATTGGACAAAGCAGCAGTACTTGGCCTCCTACAGCAAAAAATTTAACGGGTTTTTTAGGAACTAAAAGTTCCCTTGAGTTCAGAAATCATAAACCAGCATGTCATCAGGGTTATTAAACACCTCCAGCTCGGGAAGCAGGAGTTGGAGCAGGGTAACCAAGAAAAGCATTGTTATGTACCTGACCTGTTCTTAACTGCCTCGGGCTGTCAGAAACAGCCACGAGATACGAACCCTTAACTGCGTCGCTCCCTCACTGAGGGAACAGTGTGCTGTAGCTATACGCTCTCTAGCTTTAATTACTGAGAGTAACGCCCCGAGGTACAGCCCCGACTCACCCAGTCGTTCATCATCATCTTCCTTAGGTTGTACACGAGCGTCAGCTCCTCTGGAGACACCTGGTGAGGATGGTCTGTGTCACTGTTTGTGCCCTCGGTTTCTGAGACCAACCCCTCTCCCCTACTTCACACTAGACCGGAAGGAGCATCTGCATCGGTCAGCTGCATGCTCCGACTTGCTCCGACTTGGCACTACAGCCTCCGGCCTCAGTGACACTACAGCCTCTGGCCTCAGTGACACTACAGCCTCCGGCCTTAGCAGAGACACACCCAGCCCTTCCCTACTGCCACGGGACCTGTACGCATAAATCCTCCTGTTCTCTCACCCAGAGAACCTTCCTCAGTAAAGACAGCCTGAACGTTACAGGTCCCTCCAAGCTAGCAAAGCCAAATGCATCTCCCAGGGATTAGTACAGAACTAAAAACGAACACCCTCCCCTGCTC